CCAGGCTCCACCTGTGAAGCAACAAGAGGAACTGGGGATGCAGCCAAGATCACTCTGGTTTCTGTCTCTCCTTCCCAAGCTCTGTCCAAAAGAAAAACTCTGGGATCTGCTCTCAGAGGAACCCCTCAGGTCAAACCCTACATGGCAGTGGCAGAGGGTGCTGCTCAGCTTCGTGAGTAAAGCAGGACCCTAAAATAAACCAATTCTTCATCTCCTGGTGGTTAACAAAGTACCGATGAGCTAACCTGCTCCCCAGAGGAAGGCAGGATAAGCTAACCTGTCAGGTTGCCCTCCCTTCCAGGGTGTCCCAAAGAGGCCATGGAACTGGAAGCAATGTGTATACCTGCCAAGTTAGCAGGTCCTTATCCTGCTGGGCTCCCTACTTTTATTTATCCATGCTATTTCCATGATTTCCCCTTTGCCTGGCTCTCCCTGCTGCATTAAGGACTGTGGCTGTGCTCGGGCTTGTGTGTGGTGTAGTGCCCGCCAGGTTAAACCAGGACAGAGTCCTGTGCCAGAGCTTTTAATTCAGTGTAAATTGCCTGATACTAATTGAACCTGAGCTGGAAGACTGGGAGGGGGAAGGGCACGTTTCTAAGGGGCTGGAGACTTTACAATGAGTTTGCTAAATCAGGAGACAACTGGACCTGAGCAGGGCAAAGAAAGGACTTCACCTTAAACGTGGACAGACTCAAAGATGAGAAGTGAGAGACAAGATAAGGCTGTGGGTGAACGACTGGCATTCCCCAGGTTCCCTTTTGCCATAGGTGCATCCCTAAGAGCTCTGACAGTCCTGCAGGCTCTGACAGATGTTGTCTTCTCCCTGGCCTGATTAGAGGGTTCTGATCTCCCTCTTATCTCCCAGCAGGTGTGGCTGCTCCCTCCTCCTTCCCCAGCGGGATGAGCACAGGGAGGGAAGCGAGAGGCAAATTTGGCCATGTGATATGTGGCTGTGCAGGCGGCGCCTTTGACTCAGCCTTATCAAATCCAATTCCAAGACCATCGCCTGCTCTTTTGCTGGTGCAGGGCAGTGTTTCTGCAGGGGTCACCAAGCAAGGCAGCTAAGCCTTGCATGTGAACATGGTGGTGAACGGGACAGGGGCTGCAGCAGCTAAGCCAGGCTCAAATTCTGGTCCCTTCTGCTGGAGCAACTACAGGGAAGTTAAACTGTGTGGTTAAAGCCTGGCAGTGTGACCTGTCCCAGGCCAGGAGATCCCAGAGGGGGACAGCACAAGTCAGTGATGAAGGACATTGAGGTGGGTGAAGTCATCTTGTGCTTGTAAGCAAAGGAAATCTTACTCCCTGACTTTCCGGTCAGTGTTATCCTTGGAGGTCGAGTATCCTCCCAAAGACACATGGAGCCATGAGAGGAGCCTGGCATTGTGTGCACCACATTTCTGTACTTTTATAGCAAATGGAAGAGGGCCATGCATTGTTTTGATTTTCTCTGGGTCTCTTTGAAGAGGGAGCTGTGACAGTGATCCCTCTTCTCCAAGGGTGGAGAAGCTCTTTGGGAGGGAGAAGAGTAATGTCTCTTTGGGCTGATCTCTGCCATTGTACTTTATTTTTATTAGGTATAGTTCTCCCTTATCTGCTGTGGTCAGACATGTTTGTTCCTGTAGGACATTGGAAGGGATTGTGAAGAATTCTGGATTTGGATAAAGATTGGACAATGTGAAAACATGAAATACTAGTGGGTTTTTTTAGGGCCATTAGTATTATCATCACTGTTAGTAACAGCAAAACCTGGTGTCTGTGAGTGTTTTTGTCATGGGTCTGAGTACGTTTAAGACTGGGATTGGGTCTGTTGGTATCAGAGAACATTAGGATATGATTGTGGCAGCAGGGAAGTGCTGGTCAAAACACAACAGCTTTTGCTGGAACAGTAGAATAATATGGCAAAACCCCCAAAACCTTAAGCAACCTAGGAGTAATTGCAAGTTTTCCCAACTGAGTTTCTAACTCAGTTCTAACAGACCTTGCCCTTTTTTCCATCAGTCATCCCACTGAAATCTGCCTGGGGTGACA